TTTTTTTGCAAAAGTTCCTTATGAAAAATAATATTAGGAGTTTTGTGGCATGTTGTATGAATATTAATACAACGTTACGCGCAAAGTCTCTGGGATGTTAATGGAATGAGTTTGGAGTGTTTGGACGAACATTTTCATGTCGCTGGGAAGTTGATGGCAGGTTTATTAATCTTCGTGGAATGTTACCGTCTTACAATTTAAGATGTGACTTTATTGGGATATTGGTGTGCCTTGAAGGCTATTATTCATCCATCAAAGCTCCATGAAATATCCATGATTATACCATATGACGTCCATGTGACATCTATGAATACGTCTAATGGATGTCGAATGGAAGTAAGAAATGCGGAATTGTGGATGTCTAGTAGATGTCTATAGGAGATCACATGGACATCTAATAGAGGTTTCGAATCTCCATGATAGACGTCTACTGGACATCCATTAGAGGTTTTTGTTCCGTGTGGGTTGGGACTCTATCTCTCATTGTGATTCCCAGCATAGACCGTTCCATGGCACGTTGCGCAACTCTTACTCTGTTTGCTGTTCTCAACGTCAACGTTGAGGTCTCCGAATCATAAGTCAAGACTGGCAAGATGCTCTGATCAAAAACTTTACGTTTGAAGCATATGGGGATTTCTGATTTAAAAATATGTTTGAGCTTACCATAAGCAGCCCAGGTCAGTCTAATTCTCCGCTCAATCTCACAGGTCTGATTATCCCTACCGACTCTAATTTCATATCCTAGATATTTGTAGGATGTGACTTGGAGGATCTCTTTTCCTTCAAGTAGTATGTTTCGGCTGGGGACCAGATTTGTCATGAACTGTGTTTTGCCGTCGTTGATTTTGAGGCCAACTTTATGCGAAGCCGACGTCAACTTCAACAGCATTTCTCCTGCCTTGCCCAAGCAGTCTGTGATCAACACAATGTCGTCAGCAAACCGAAGATGGTTTAGATTTTCGCCGTCTACATTGATGCCCAGTCCTTCTAATTCGGTATTCTTAAACATGTATTCCAAAAGCAGTTACGGTCGGTAAACAGTTTAGGTGAGATTGTATCCCCCTGTCGGACCCCTTTCTGCACTCTGAATTTATCCGTCTTCTCCTATACTCTCACACTTGCTGTTGCATGTTTGTAAATATGTTGCAGGATAGCAGAGTACCTGTAGTCCACTCTACAGTCAGCAAGCGCTTTACACCTAAACATCTCGTTGTGTTTGATGGAGTCAAACGCTTTTTCATAATCCACAAACACTAGCACGAGTGGCTTGTTATATTCGACAGATTTCTCTATCAGGGTTTTAATAACCTGTAGGTGGTTGTTGGTTCCATATCCACATCGGAACCCTGCCTGTTCCGGAGGTTGATAGAAGTCCAGAGTTCCAAACTATAGGTGTAGTTGCTTCGATAAGGCATTTATTAAATAGGGTTGTTACAGCTTTTAGTAACATATCTCCACCTTCCTTGACTGCCTCAATCACAATATCATCCTCCCCTGGTGCTTTACTGTTCTTCATATCTGATAGTGATTTCAAAACTTCTCCTGTGGTTATCTTAGGTAAATCTTCCGACCCCTGGTTTAAAATTCGAGGAATGGTACAGAAAGTGTTCTCTACTGGCTGTTCATTTCTACCATATAAGTTTGAGTAAAAGTCTTTTACAATTTCCAGGATTTCTTGTTTATTTGTAGTGATCTGGCCGTTTGTATTCTCCAGTTTGGTGATTTCCGTTTTTTCTATTGCGAGTTTATTCCTGAGTACTTTCATACTCCTGTTGTCTTCGATCGTCTTCGTTACCCATTTATTGTTATAGTCTCTTAAATCTTTTCAAACAGCCTTTGATATATCTTTATTCACTTGTCTCAGTTGGTCTTTATTTCTTGGGTTTTCCTGCAGCATTTCTCGTCTCTGCCTCATAAGGTGTCGTGTATTTGTTGAGAGTTTTTCTTCTTTGTTATTTACTTTTGAACAATGTTTTCGTTGAGCTTCCTGGATTGAATCTATTATAGTAGAATTTAATGTTTCTATATTCATTTTATCTGTATTTCCTAGGTGTTCGGTTATGGTTTGCTGATATCATGGTTAGTGACTGCGGTCCATTTCTTATTGCTGGCCTTGGTGAGTGTTTTCCTTTCTCTTCTTAGGTTTACCATTATTGTTGCTCTGACCATTCTATGATCGCTTCCCACTGATACCCGGTTTAGTACTGTAACATCTTGTACAAGTCGTTTTCTGTCGGCAATAATAAAATCTATTTCATTTTTGGTGTTTCCGTCAGAGCTGATCCATGTCCACCTTCTGTGTTTAGCTTTCTTAAAGAAAGTATTCATAGCGTGTAGATTATGCTCCAAGAGAAACTGTAGTAACGTGTTCCCTTGATCGTTCCTTTCCCCTATTCCATGTTGTCCAAGGGAAAATTCACTCTCATCCTGTTTCTTCCCGAGTTTCGCATTAAAATCCCCAACCATGATTGAAAAATATGTTGGAACTTTGGACATGGCCGTATTAATATCGTTATAAAACATCTCAACTTCTCTCTTCGAAGATATTAATTATAAAACCCATGTTTACTAGACTTTTTTTTCTTATTTTGATCTTTTCTTGTTTTGAATATTACCTATGCTTTCAAAATGTGACCCTTTTTTTAAATTCTGTATAAATTGTATTTAATATTGAGTTTTTCATTTTTCATTTTCGTTTTTCATTTGTCTCTCTTTTTCTCTCTGCACACACGCACAATTTTAATTTCAAATCAGGTTTGGATTAAGTTAGAATTTTTTCGGGGTGAGGATGCAGAAAAAGAGGCAAAGTCCCTCCTACATATTTACATATTTACTTAAATATACAGCTAACATAAAATTCATGCTCATTGGTTTATTACATTTATGTGTTTACAACTTTTATATGTGCGTGTATGTGCGTGCGTGCCCGCCCATATGCACGTATGTATGTGTGTGTAGTATAATTTTTTGAGATTGAGTAAATTATATCCAATAAATAATTAATTCAACATATAATACTATAATTACTAATATTTTATTAATATTTTATATAATTACTAATATTTTATTGTTGCATGGTTAGGTGGAAATCCGTAGAAGCATGCAATTATAGACTTCATTGCGCATCCGAAGCATTAGATGATATAAGTGGGTAAACCCGTTTTCGCGCAGAATGTTGCAAATTCACGTGAAACTTTGAATTTTTAATCTTTGATATTTTTGAACACCCTATATAAAGACCTGCATATTTGTTCATTGTATGTGTGTAGTATGCGTAAGAATATTCATATAAATCTATATAAAAAAGAATATTCACTGTGTCCAATATTAAATCTTTTATTGTGTGTTTGTATGTGTCTACATTGGACTTTTGATTTTCACAAAAATCTTTGTTTGTTAAAAACTTTTTAATAATCAACGAGCGACGGCTTAAACCTTTTGCGGGTTATTCAGGATGATTATATGTCAAGGTCAAAGAGTTATCGAAGCTGGATCCCCTTTTGTCAATAATTTGTCTAAGTTTAGAAAATAATGGAAAGGTTCTATTGTATAATCGCGAGTTCGATCTAATGTTGATTTTTAGAATTCAGAGCAATTCTTAAAAAGCAATTTCAATTTCCAAGTCAGAAAAAATAAGTCTAATAAATAATCATATAGCTATATTAATCTCGAAGAAGATTGGTGCCTGGAGCATGGAAAAGCAATAGCTTTTCTGATCGTTTCAAAATTGGTTGAATCATATTAATTTGATTGTAATTTTATTTATTTTTGAAGCTTTTAATTTTTTATATATTATTAATTTTGTCCACATTTAAAATCCGTGTTCTTTTAAAAATATTTGCAAAATTTTCTAAATTTATGATTTTTTAAAAATTTATTCTGCCTCTAGCTTTAATTTTTTTAAAGTTGATAAAATTCGTTTTAGAATTAGCTAACACTTATATTTCAAAAGTGTAACTTTTCGTAATTTACTAAATCTGTCACACTTCATATTCCACCTTTAGACGCCCGATGATTTTTTCTATAGCTTTTGAAATAATAGAAACAAAGGCTAAGTATAAGACTTCTATATCTATCATATTCATATTATTTTTATTAAACTGTTAAAAGTTGTCTAATAATTTACGAAAGATTGATGAGTACAAGTAAAATATTTATATTTTACTTATTTATTTAAAAATAAATGCAAGAAAACTTCTCATTTATTTTATTTTTAGAATTGACTTCAGTGTTGAAAAAAAATGGAATACTGATTGCTACCCCATAAATCATTTGTTTTCGAAGTATTTAACTCCAATTATTTAACATAATTCTAAGTTAATAAATATCAAATCCAAGATCGGTTTTGAGTTATATATAAAATCGTAAAAAGTATGATATATATTTCTTGTTAAAAAATTTGTATCTTTCAAAACTCTTTTCAAAGACATTGATGTGATTTTCAAATTATAAAAGAAAATGTTTTCATAATTTTTTTTTTACAACCAGCCTTTAGCCTTACGAATTCTGAATCTGTCCAAACTAGGACACTCACAGAAAGGTCTCAATTTTACCACCACCAGCTCGCTCAATTAATTGCGTGCTGACTTTCGCCAACACTCAATATCCGGGTTCACCAAACTACAATAATTAGAACACACTCGTTGCTAGGTCGAGGAGGTCTTTTCTCTTCAAGCGCACATATTTAGGCTCGTTCAATAGACCCTTTGCCAGATTGTTGGGATGTGTTGACAATTTCGACTGATATTTGGCACTATGCTCCTTTATCACCTCCTTCATGTATTTCATGTTCAGATCCCGGTGAATCTCTTCATTTCTCACGGACCAAGCCGCGTTAACTATGCGCCTCAGCGTTTTTGATTGGAAACGTTGCAATTTGTCCAAATTGGATAAACTCGTGGTCCCCCGCAGTTGTATGTTCATATTGGCTTTAGTATCATTTTGTAGAGAAGCAGTTTGGAATCCAGGCTCAACTGTGATTTGTATCCTAAAAGCCAATACATCTTCCCGCATTTTATTTTTAGCTGCTTACATTTGCTCTCAATGTGTCTTCTCCAGGTTAATCTCCTGTCTAAATGTAGTCCTAGGTACTTTACTTCTTCATGCTGAGGGAGTACGATGTTGTTCAGTTTCACTTGTGGACATGTTTTTTTCCTGAGCGTGAATGTTATATGGACCGATTTGGACTCATTGACTCTAATTCTCCATCTTTGTAGCCACGATTGGATTTTATCAAGATGATTTTGTAGTTCTCTGGGCGCTGTCGCCGGATTTTCATGAATTGACAGGATCGCTGTGTTGTCAGCAAAAGTGGCAATTGTCACCTTGTTGGATCTTGGCAGCTCAGCAGTAAAGACTAAGTACAGCACCGGTCCGAGTACGCTGCCTTGTGGTACTTCTGCTTTAATTGGTTTTAGTTTAAATTCTCCGTCGTTTTGCTTAACTTTGAATTCTTTGTCGGTTAAGTAAGAGGTGAGGATGTTTTGGTATTGCTTTGAAAATAGCTGTTTGATCTTGTGGATGAGTCCTTCGTGCCACACTTTGTCGAATGCTTGCGCTACATCGAGAAACGTAACAGAACAATATTTTTTTTTTATCAAGGGTCATCTTTATCTGTCCTACAATTCTGTGAACCTGTTCAACTGTACTATGCTCTTCTCGGAAGCCGAATTGGTGTTCTGGAATAATCCTCTTTCTGCTATAATAGGTTTAATTTTGCTTAATAGTAGCTTTTCGAAAAGCTTGAATAAGACTGGTACCAAACTTATTGGTCGATAAGAAAAGACCTGGGTCGCATCTTTACTCGGTTTTGGGATCATAATTATTTGGGTGATCTTCCAGCTTCCCAGTCAGCCACGTCTGTTCTAACAGATATTGCCAAGTGCTTGCTACAAATTATTGTCAGCAAAAGGACTACAAATTTGGTACAAGAGTTGTTATTACCGATTAAGCTGGCAGATTGCCGGCAAAAACCAAACAAAGCTTGCTAACATAACTAGACAGCAAATTGGCGGCAAAAACCGAGCAAACCTTGCTGACATGACTGACATCAGATTGTCAGCAAAAACTGAACAAGGTCTGAAGTGCGCAATCTGATGGCAAATTGGCAGCAAAAACCGAACAGAATCTGCAGCTTAGCACAAAGAATTATAAAATAGTTCAGTCGCTTATCGCTATGCGGCGCGTTATTCATTATCTATACCCGTATTCAAATTCTTGTCATGAGTGTATATAAAGCCTGCAAAACGCTAATAATATTATAATATATATATTTCTATCAGTTCAATTTTTGACACAATTCTTATACAGGAAATTCAGATATTGAACTGATTTTTGGCAAATCGGACAAATAATTGTTCGATTTTCACTTATTCGAACAATTTCTGTCCAAAAAGATCTTTAATTTTATAAATTAAATTATTTAAATTTATCTATATGTTTTAACACATTAATATATGATTTTATATAATGTCTGATTATCTAATGATCATTTTATGACCAAAACTTATTATCATTTTGTTACTTAGGGTTGAGACTTTAAATCCATTTAAATATACTATTTTATATGAATGGCCAAAAGCTGCAGAATTTGTTTTTTGCTGACAATCTGCTGTCAGATTGTCTTGCGCAGATTTTGCTTGATTTTTGCCACCAATTTTACGTCAAATCATGTCAAGCTTTGCTCGGTTTTTGCCGTCAATTTGCTGTCAGGTTATGTTAGCAAGCTTTGTCACCAAAACACAAGCTTAATGCGGACACAGATGGCACTGGATTTGTTACCAAGTTTTGAGCGAATTTGATGCCAATTTGGCAACAATTTGTTATCAAATTGCTTACTGTGTTTTCGGGAAGTATCCCAGCCTCATCATTGCGTAGAATATGTATGCAATCTTATACAATTTTCCGGTGCTTTTTTTAGTGTTTTTCCCGTGATAAGATCGCAACCAGAAGCCTTCTTTGGGTTGATATTTTTCTTGATTATTTCTTTCACGTCTTGCCATTTGAATTTTATATTCTCTTCCCTATCACTTTCGTTGAAGATTTCTGGGAGCATTTCTATTTTATTAGTCTCATTGGGTGTGAAGATTTTGCACAAATGAGACGCAAAGGCATTTGCTTTTTCTGTGTCATTCCTTGCCCAATTGCCGTCAGGCAGACGGATTGGAGGGTAAGCAGTGTGCTGGCGTTTCAGTTTTCTGGTTGCTTTCCAGAGAGAGTAATCTGTATGTTTTGTAGGTGTTAGTTCTTTAAGATAAGTTTGGATGTCCTCGTCTCTTTTTGTGCACAGAGCTCTCTTGAGATTTTTGATCGCTTTGTTCAATTTGCTTTTGGTTATTGGAGATCTATTTTGTTGCCACTGCCTTCTTAACTTGCGCTTATCTTGCAGTAGAAGTTGTACATTCCTGGATGATTTGTATTTTTTTACTGTTATTTACTGATGGCGATGGAGTGACTGTCCTCGTGGT